AAATAATGAAAAATAAAACCTTGTTATTTAAGCTGCTGAGATTTTGGGATTGCTTGTTACTGAATAACCCAGCATATCCTAACTGATACACTGTCTATGCTTTGACATCTTCTATAACTATCTCTAGCCACCATGTTTCTACCTTACTTGAACTTATGTGACACATTTTCTCTATACCACTTACCTGGTCCTGATGACACATTGCCTTATATTGCCAATTATCAGTTCCTTGGTATGGCTTAGCCACTTCCACAGCTCTACTGGGGATTCCTAGGGGCAGGGATAGTGCTAGTTCCATTTTTGTATCATACAAAGTATGGCTCATGGCTAAGGCAGTATAATGGGTACAGGAGTCAGGCTGATGTGATTTGAATCCCAGTTCTGACACTGACTGAGGTTCTCTCTGAACCTCAGTTTCCTCATTTGTAAAATGAGAGTAACAACATATACTCTACAGGGTTTTTCTGAAGTTTGGTTAACAGGTGCAACATATGCATAAGTAATAGCACACTCTAATTATTACTGTTTTCATTATTTTTATTATCATTATTGATGATGTTCAGTAAATGCCTATGGATAAGTCAATCTTTCATTGACTGAAGTCTAATGGTACATGCACTGGACTTGGAATCATAAGTCCTGAATTTAGGGACTTATGTTTTTTATCATAAGCTTTGTGACCTTGGGAAAGTCACTTTACCCTCTCTGCATTTTTCATGTTCTCAACTATAAAATGTAAATACTAATGACATTTACCTCACGGGATTGTATAAAATTTAAATGAGATGATATATGAGGAAATGTTTTATACATACTCAAGCATCATTCTTTTTTTTTTAAAAAGATGACTGGTAAGGGGATCTTAACCCTTGACTTGGTGTTGTCAGCACCACGCTCTCCCAAGTGAGCCAACCAGCCATCCCAATATAGGGATCTGAACTTGTGGCCTCAGCACTATCAGCACCACACTCTCCCAAGTGAGCCACAGGCCGGCCCAAGCATCAGACATTCTAAAACTGTAATGATACAGAGAATATTGGCTGGTCCCTCACATAAGAGTTGAAACAAGTTCCACTCCCACTGTTGGACATTTGTGAAGCATCCCCATGTGCTCCAATAACACTTTGCTGTTGGTTATATAAGAGTAACACATGCTTATTGTAGAGAAAATACAAAATATGAAGAAAATACAAATTCTAGTAATTCTTGTCTCTTATTCAGGGATAATCTCTATTAGCCTTTGATGTATTTCTTTCCAATTTTCTTCTCTGAATACATAGTTACAAAACTGATATTATATCACACATACAAGCATTGTCCCATGTCACTAACTATTCTTATGGGGGTACTTCAAAACATTTGTGGAAAATGGAATTAAAAGTTAATATGAATCTTTCCATGAACTCTTGAAGACCCCCCACATACGAACATAAACTTACATTAAAAATTCTTACATTTGCCCGGTGGCGCACTGGAGAGTGCGCTGTTTGGGAGTGCGGTGGCGCTCCCGCCGAGGGTTCGGATCCCATGTGGAGACCGGTTCCCGCTCACTGGTTGAGCGCGGTGTGGGCGCGACACTGAGGGTTGCGATCCCGTTGCCGGTCCCTGGTACAGGAGCGACACCGAGGTTTGCGATCCCATTACCGGTCAGTAAAAAAGACAAAAAGGAAAAAAAAAAATTCTTACATTTTAGGGCCGACCCTGTGGCTCACTCGGGAGAGTGCGGCGCTGGGAGCGCAGTGGCGCTCCTGCCGCGGGTTCGGATCCTATATAGGGATGGCCGGTGCGCTCACTGGCTGAGCGCGGTGCGGACGACACCAAGCCAAGGGTTGCGATCCCCTTACCGGTCACAAAAAAAAAAAAAAAAAAATTCTTACATTTTAACCATTTGCCTATTATTGAATATATGAGTTGATGATACTTTTTCACTGTCTAAATAAAGCTGTAATGAACATTATTGTGCATAAATATTTCTCTGCCTTTCTAATTTTGTAAAAAAATTTTTTTAGAAGGAATATCTAAGTCAAAGTATACAAACATTTTTTTCTTAGTGGACTTTATTTTTTATAGCAGTTTTGGGTTTACAGAGAAACTGAGCAGAAAATACAGATAGTTCCCATACCTCTACTTCCTCCCCCCCACCCCAAAACACACTAGGAGAAACTATTATTAATACCTTGCATTAATGTGGTACATTTGTAACAGTTACGAACTAATATTGATACATCATTATTAACTAAGATTTACATTAGGGTTCCATCTTTTTGTCATACAGTTCTATGGGTTTTGCCAAATACATAATGTCATGTACTCACCATTACAGTATCATACAGAATAGTTTCACTTCACTAAAAATCCTCCATGCTCCACCTATTCATCCCTCTCTCCCTCCCTCCTTTTCTGAAAGCCTGTCAGCCGCTGATTTTTTTCCCCCATTACAAAGAGTACGAACATTTTGTTGTTGTTGTTGTTGAACTTTCTTTCTTTCTTTATCACGAATATTCATGAGGTACAAAGCTGATTGTCCCCCCCTCCTGCCCATGATGTGAGGGCCAGATTCATACTGGGGCATACCCATTACCAGAAATTACTTTTGTACCCTTTGTCCCCCCCCAACCTCCCTCCCCCTCCTCCTCTTCCCTCCACTCCAATTTGTAGCCCTAGGAATATTCCCTCCCTCTGTTGGATCATGGCACTACTGTGGTCTTTCTTTCCTGCCTTCCTTTCTCTCTTAGCTCCCACATATGAGTGAGCACATGTGGTATTTATCCCTCTGTGCTTTGCTTGTTTCACTCAA